GTTCCGGCGAATTGCCGGGTTTTAAGAGCGGGACGATGGTAGCGCGTCTCCACTCAACCGGAATCGTACCGGTCGTCCAGCTGCAGTTAATGCAGCGAAGAAGGAATCGGAGGCCCTTTGACGAAATATGTCGCAGTGCCTCACTGTAGACTTCATCCGGTCCGGGGGCCTTGCCATACGGCGTATTACGTAGCGCAGCAAGCAGTTCCGTAGAATTAAAAGGTGCATCAAGAGGGGAGTGAAGATGAGCAACTAAACCAGATGTGGTGGCAGCTTCGTTTTTATCCTGTGGCTCAGACCTAGATGAGAGTGAAGAACCTGAAGTAAATGTAGCGGCAGACTCGTTGTTTTTCTGCTGCCCAAAAAGAAAAGAAGCATTAATGTTCAAAGATGCACTCTGTCTGTTTATGCCTTTGGAAAATCTAACTGCCTTGTGAGAGGGGTGAAATGGAAAAAAGACGCGATTGAGAGCATTCGCTGCTCTCCTTGCTGTTTTGTAAGTGTGTTGACCATCTCCCAATAAAATTGATGTGGGAGATGGAAGTGATGCCTTTTTTTGTCCGGAAATGTATTTCCATGCGAGTGGCTCGCCTGGATTTAACTTGCTGATGCGACGTGGATACGTGTTGCGCAAGCGCTCTCGGAGCAGGAGGAAGAATTGACTCCTCGTCCGTTGCATTTCTGCCTCACGGTCGGGCGTCGGTAACTGTAGATAGCGGGCCTTGCTGTCGGTAGCCATCCGCTCTGCCTCCATGAGAGTGTCGTCCCAAAGCCTGGGACCGTCCTTGTGCATGCCGCGGGGGCAGTGTCGTCGATACGAAGTTATAAGCGCTCTCGTGAAAGCCTTAATGCCGGTGGACTGCTTTTTATAGTCATATGCCGGAAGTTGTGCGTCGAAGTCCTTGACGAATGAATCCCATTTGCACTTCCCCCAACTGTGGAATATCCTAGGTGCCGAAGGTATGGTATCCTTAAACGCCTGATGCAGCGTAAATGTCAGCATATAATGATCACTAAGCGGCGACACGGAAGCTGACCAATCCGACACAGTCAAATGCTTTGACCATGTCAGATCGATACAGGATCGTTCTCTTGTGCCACGGGCATACGTGATCCCACCAGGGGTGTTAACCAAGGTGAGTCCCGCGTCCGTGCACAGTTCTAAAAATTCTGCAGCAACCTCGCTTGGAGAAGTCTCCAAGAATGACTCCCACTGTGGGTGATGCATGTTGAAATCCCCGCACAGCAGGAGCAGCGACGAGGCTGGAAGGCAGTTTACTAACCGCCTGAAGGATTGCGTTACTTGCGGTGGTGGTCTCATATAGGCACTCGCTACAATAAGATCACGGTTCTGGTCCAGAGCAACCTGGACCACCACCACTTCAAGGCTGGTGTCATGCTGGGGGATGGTGAGAGGTATACGCTTGGAGCGGAGAGTTTTCCCGACCAGCACCGCCACACCGCCTCCCTTGCCGATGCGCGACTGTGCATAGAGCACATAATCTCCAGTGTGCATGCTGGCGATCTGCTCTGACGACTTCCAAGTCTCCTGGATGGTATTATGTCTGCTCCTTGCGCCATTAATGTTGCGAGTTTTGACGGCGTGAGGCAAGAAACGCTCATCTGGAGTACTGCTATGGGGCCTGGGTGCTGCTCAATGTCTCCGCTTAGCAGTAGCTTTTGTCGTCGCGCGTCACATACGGCACGCAAACGGTAATTATAGCGCTGATAAGTGCCGATGGAATTCAGCAGCGGATGAAAATACCGCTCCGCGGGCAGCCATGTAAATGGCTCCATCTGGTGCCCTTCCGACCCGTTTGTTCGGCGCCTTTCACCTCTCCGCGCGTAGCGGATGGGCAGCAGGCACTTAGCTTCATCCCTATCAAAGAGTACTGCACATCCTGGCACCACGTTGAGGTGGCCGGCTGAGCCAGAGCGTTGTTGTAGTCTTATTGGTGGTACTATTTGGCATTTTGATCTTCTCATTTGATATCTGTGCCTTATGATTCTCATTGCCTCGTGTATTTTACTGCGCCTTCTATTTTGTGCATCTGACATACCGGCCACGCCTTGTGTGTGTGTGGAGACTGAGTTGCCAGACCTGGTGGCCCTGGATTATCGCTAGCCGAACTCAGTGACTCTGGCGGAGCTGGTGTCTGTCCAGTGATGGCTGTGCCTGCTTCCTCTGGCAACGAAGGTCCTGGACTTCTCAAACCCTCCTCGCTGTCTCTCCCACTCTCTCTCTGTGGCCCACCGGTCTCCCCACCATATGGCTGTAATGCACCAGGCATATTTTTGTAGGATCCGGTTTCCCTAGCTCAGGGCTGGGAGGACGGCTGTTATCATTATTATCGTCTCCTGCCGCCGTCACGCACACGGACGAGCAGCCGCAGCACAAGAGCGCAAGTACCAACACGGCGCCGCACCGTCACTATCGCAGTCACCATCGCCCGTAGTGGAGTCGCTGGTGTCAGTCAGCTGATCCGTGAGACGGAAAGAAAAAGAATGGAACGAGAGGGAGAGGGACGGAGCACAGCGGATACAGCGAGAGAGAGAGCAGACAACATGAGGAGAGGGCAGCAGGCCCAGCCGCACAGTCCACACACCACGAGACGGCATCCACGCAAGGAAGGCACACAACGCCAGCAGCCACCACCATGCAGGAGGAGAAGACATCCACCACCATCTCCCCCAGCTCATTCCCGCAGCCCCAGGGAAATGGCAAAACCCGCGACCACCACACAACGCACACGGAGCAAGCGAACCCTCATCCATCCATCACGCGGCACAAAATTTCCTGCCATCCCGCCATCAATGGGACACGGAGCCCAACTCAGCGCAGTCACACGCGGTGCATCACACCCGCAGGAAAATAGACTCGGGGTGCGCTTCCTCTCTCCCCCTCCTCATGGCCACGGAAGAAGACAACAGTCGCCACACGCAACTGCCAGCATGCACTACAAAAGGTGCATTCAAATCCACTGCAATGTGCATCTTGTGTGTGTGTGTCTGCAGCAACACAAAGCAAAGAAGTAGAAAAGAGGGAGCAGAGTATGTGGAGGGACGCACAAAAATGTGCAGCGGAGACGCATAACGGAAACAACAACAAGAAGAAGACCGCTCAAACTCATGACTGCACTGCAGCCCAAGCAGCGGCAATTCACACAATATTTATTGAAAACAAAAAAACGTCCCCCTTCGTCTTATGTAAACCCCACCACACAAAATAATTATAAATGAAAAAGAAATCGTCCATTACTGCTCCACACAAATATAAAATAAGAAAAAGATCGCCTGGCTGCCGTGTGGCCACACCAAACTGTCTGTATGTATTTTGCCCGCAAAAGAAAATTAAAAAGATGGTTGCGTGTGCTTCGACCGTCCGACCCTCCGTGTGTCCGCACATCGTTTATATTTCATGGGGTCATCTGCGTGTTGCTGCTCCCCTCAGCCCTCTCATCGGCGCGTGAGTGCGGCCCGCAGAGCACAGTCACTCGTGTGTGTGGGGACTGAGAGAGGCACGCAGACATGAAGGGAGTCGCGTCACTCCATCGGGAGAGTGAGCGCAGCAAAAGAAAAAAAAATCATCGGAGGGGAGAGAAATGCTCACGAGGCCGACACCGAAGGGTGCGCCACCGCATGAAATAAACACGCAAAGCAAAACAAATCCTTAAAGAAAAACACGGCGGCAGGGTGTGGCTGTGTGTGTGGCGCTGCGGGTGTCTGCCAGCCCTGGCCGCAAAGAAACAAAACAAGAGGGAAGAAATGTGTGCTCCGCCCCACAGGCCCTCGTCGCACGCCCACACGTCACGGCTCCCTCAGCGCGCCGTTCGTCGCGGCCCCTCCTCATGCGTGCAGCAGGCGAGGCGCACAGGGCCGTCGTCATGAGCGTGTCGGTGGGTGTGCGAGTGGAGCAGTTGGGCGGAAACACACGGCACCCCTCGCAGGAAGAGTGCAGAAGAAACAATTAAAGAGGGAAGAGTAAAAAAGAAAAAACGTCCATAGTGATTGCCCCAAAAGGAAAACAAAAAAAAGCAAACAGGGAAAAAGTAAATAAAAGTTATTAAAGAAGATAAATTAATTACCGTGTGTGTCGGTGCAGGGGAGGTCGCAAGGTGTCCCACGCGACAGCCGGTCACGCCTCACAGAGCCGCAATGACCCACAGTCCCAACAGAAGGAGCAGCAGCGGCAGCAGTCCTCTCCCACACACACTGCCGGCATCGCTGTTATTCCCCTGCGACACATTTCCGAGACTGCTGCTGAGTGCCGCAGCATTTACTTCGCCGTCCTGTGGATGGATGTCCTCCCTTTTCTGACCATCCGTCCCTCCCACCGTTTCTCCACTCGCACCAGTGCGCCCTCCCGCCTCAGGTGTCACGGCGGTTCCATCGTGCGCCATGGTTTCAGCGGTAGGGGCATTTGTATCTGCTGTGGCGGAAGTGCCCACTGACGGTTGTTGTGTTCCATCTCCCTGCACCATGTCTCCAGCTTCGGCATCCACCGTTTGGCCTCCCTCGGAAGAAGAATCAACATCCACATTTGGATGTCCTTCGGGAGATGTTCCCGACGCTGACTGGTCTTCGGACTCTTTGGCTGCTGGGGAATTCCTAGCTGTAGATGCCGCGGACGTGGATAAAACGCCACTCCCCGCATTTTCACTTTTCCTCAACGGATCCTGTTCAGTCTGCTGTTGCCCGACATGACTAGACGGAGTTTCGGCTTCCGGCGTAGCTTGTTTACTTACCACTGGTGGAGTACCCTTCACTGTTTTTGCACCTCTTGCTTTTGGAATAGAAAGTTTTGTGTTAAGCGCAGTAATCTCACTGTCATTCAACGGGCGGTTGTACAGCAGGACGTTCGTCACAGTCACAGACACGTCTTGGATCTCTGTGTCGGCTTTTTCGTCTCCATCCCCTCCAATGTAGAAGTGCGAGATCTCGTTCGATCCCGTAGTTTCCAATTTACATTGTTCATCCCCACCCACACGCTTACCATCGACTTACGCGGAGCCCTGGGTGCCATTCCTTAGCAAAATCACGACGTGGTGTGTTGTATCCGTCGCCAAAGTGCGGCTTTGATCCTCAGGGCTTTCGACATCGCACAGCACCTGCCACTTCTTTTCCTTGTCGTACGAAAGGTCAAAAGTTTTTTTTTCTCCTTCACGACTCAGACGCACACCCATCACAGGGACGCTGCCACTCGTCGGCTCACCGTCGATGGACACCGTCGCCACAAGAGTGAAGTTGTAGTTCGCAAAGTGGTACAGCTGATTCTCCCCCTGACTGCCAACGGGCCACTCCGCCCACGCTCCATGGAACTGCACACCATCGGAAGTCTTTGTTGCCCCTGTCTCCCCATCACCATTTTCCTTCTTCACTGTGGCGTTCACCCCGAGGTACTCGTCCCTCCATGTGTTCTCAGAGAAGTTGCCGGACAAAAAGCCAACCAGCCCAGCCGTGATCTTAACAGTAGGGCTGCAGGCATCTTCAGTTGAGGCATCCTTCTCAACACTCTCAGAGGTGCACAGCTTGGAGACAATGTCGTCTGCTTTCTTCCACGTCGCCAGCACCTCCTTCACACGCTGCAGCTGCGCAGTCAGAAGCACGGAAACCATACCGGGTGATGGTTTGCCCTCATCACCCTTCTTCTTCTCGTACAGTGCAATCAACTCATCCTTCTTATTAGCTTCACCATCTTTACCACTTTTGTACAACAGGGAGCTGGCGGCAGCGTCATCATCGGATACCGGCCCAATATCAACAATGTGCGTATTGTCCGTCAGCCAAAGATGGAGTTTTCCCTTTTTCACATTGCCTCCTTTCTCAGTCACCTCGGAATACACCGGCAGAGTAACGAGCATCACATTTCTGTTATCTTCAACACCGTCAATCGTCGCCGTGATAAACCCGCTTCTAACGGCCTTCACTTTTTTATCCTGTTTGTTGCCCCACACACGCGAGAGTGTCCCGAGTGCCTCCGTCCACGAATCCCCCTTGTCACCGGACTCGTACACCCTGCGGCCATCATCACACACAGTCATCATCATGAGTTTGTCCTTCCCCCACTCCACGACGGAGGGATCACTGCAGCCACCGTCAGACATCCCCTTCGACAGCTTCCAATTCTTAGTATCCGATGAGTACAGGAGCAGCGAAACGGTCTTTCCATCCTTTTGTGCGACATCCTTCGTCGTCTTCGTGGCTTCCACTGGAAACACAAGCGTACTGTCCTTCAGCTTGACACCCGATCCACCGCCGCCAATCAGCCGCTTCAAGGTGTTGTGATGTTCGCCTAGAGTGCACGGGAGACCGTCAGTTTCCTTCCAATGGATTCGTTTGTTGCCGCCTTCACCGACCTTACCCTTCACCAGCAATATTCCCGATTTGATCGTGTCGGTCGTAGCCTTACATTCGGCGAGATTTTCACCGCTGTTTTTTCCAACAAGCATGTAAATATCGTTTCCCTCAACAACTGTTGTTGGTCGGCTCACATCTACTCTCATCTTCTCCTTTCCAGAAGTGACTTCTTCCAGAACTTGTGTGTCCTTGTCATCCTCCAGCAATTCCTTCGGTTCGTTATCCTTATCCATCGTGATAATTTGGGATGCAATGCCATTAAAGCCGCTGTTTTCATCCTTCCTCTTGCACTGCGCTTCGGCAACGGCAAACACATCACTCCCCACTTTCAAAAGGCCGGGAACACCCAACGAGTCCACAGTTACACCACCACCCTCCTCATCCTTAACGTCCTTCCATTTATAACTTGGACCAGATGCCTGCCCCGCAGCTTGCGCAGCTCCACCAGTGCCGCAGCACATCATCACGACGAGGAGGAGCAGCAGCGCGGAAGTAAACACACGCCGGGACATGTTGGGCCTCTGCGGCTCACTCTCTCCTCCTTCCCTCCTCCTTCCGCTGGATCCGGTCACGCGACGACGGTTGTGTGTGCGGGGTGCCATCACTGCAGCAACACGTGAGAGCATATAAATATGTGTGTGGGTGGTGTGTGTGTTGTTGGTCCTTTCAGTGCCTTCAAATTTCACAGTAGCGATTAGCGTTTAGCCTTACTTCGTAACAGAGTGATTGAGAGAAATAGAAAGAAAACAGGATAATAAAATATGGGTGAAAGAATAAGCACCGCCCCTCCACAGTGAGTGGCACCATCATCCCCACCGCAGTCACTCCCAACAACAACAACTCACGCACACAGACACACGGAACGAGAAGGAAGAACAGTGCACCGGGAACACACAGCGACTGCCACCAGCAGCAGCAGCAGCCACGGCAGGTGCGTTATTCCTCACGCGTCAGCACACACCGAGCAACGCCAGCGCACAAACAAAACAACCGGGAGAATGCAAAATAGAACAAGACCGTCCTTCGCAAAGCCCACGCGCTGTCGCCAGTTGTTTTACTGTTCACCCTTCCAGCGCACCCTCCAACGCACATCACCCCACACGGGCAAAGAATCCCTGACCAAAGTATACACAGCATAGAAGATACAAATTGGCACGTGCAGCAGCTGGACGAGAAGCAATCCACACTTGTCTCAGGCACCCTAAGCCACACCACCCAATCGACTGCACACCCGCAACGTGTCAAAAAAAAAATGCAGGCTTTTTCCCCCCTCGCGAGGGCCTCCGCAGCCACAATCCTGTGCGTGCGTGCATTCTCAGCGTTTTAAACACGGCATGTGTGCGTGCATGTGCTTGTGTGTCTGGCAGCGCCTATACTTGCGGAGCAGCTGTGCGCCACAAGAGAGTCTGAAGAAAGCAACGGCAGAGAGAGGCAGATAGCACACACGCAAATTACTCATATCATCACACACACACACACACGCAGCCGCGGAATGGGTGCACTCAACCACAAAATCAAAAAGGAAAACAAAAAGCCGAAGCGTGGGACGACCAGCGCACACACACTCTCATTACTCCCGTAAAGCAAAACACACACACAGAGGGAGAGAGAGAGAGGTCGCCCACTCAATGCAATAAAAACAAAACAGAAACAGTTACGGTGCTCCGCCCATGCAGCCAGGCAGGACGGCAGCGGTGCGTGTCGTGCAAAAGAGAGCACCAACGGGCCTGCATGGGTGTGCATGCATACATACAATGGGCACATTATTGTGTGTGCTTCGTGGGGTGAGGTGAGGGCGAGAGTCCATGCAAGGGGACACACACACAGAGAGAGAGAAGGACGAGTGTGTGTGCGGGCGGTGCATGGCTCTCTCACACTCACTCTCACGCGGCCACCACAGCAGCAGCAGCCGCACAAACCACGAAACAGATGGAATCAGTGCGGTTGCAGAACTCGCACACCGTCCTGCAAACCAGAAGTTTAAAAAGCAATATGAAACAAGAATTCAAAAAAAAATGGAAAAAACTTAGGCTTCTGCGGGAATCGAACCCGCGTCCACGGATGAAATTGTGAGCGTGTTTGCCACTGAGCTATAAAAATGCGGTCGCGCGACCCCTTTTCACGTAAAGTATTAATTTCGATCTTCGAACAATCGAGCACATTTGCGTTGTTCCCTGGAAAACGAAAACGACATGTTTAGGGTGCGCAGCCGCAGCGTGGTTACTACTGTAAGTCGTGTTGTATCCAACGTCCGGGGCCACCGCCCTACCATTTTTTATTTCTTGCAGCGGCCAACCCCGGCAGTAAGGACAAAAAAAAGAATCGCGTTTTCTTTAATGTTTTTCCTGTTTGGGGGCGGGGATCTTTGTTTTCTATGATTGTCTCTTTTTTTTGTCTGTTCCAGGTTGGTTTTTAGGAGGCTTGATGTGCCTGCTGGGTGATCGCCGGCTTTTTTATTGGTGATTGCGTATTTTTGGCTTACCGGTGTGCCGCTCAGCGCCATTTTGTTTTACTTCTTTTCTGCTTATTGGGGCGTGTTGTTATTCGTCACGCGTCAGCACACACCGAGCAACATGTCAAAAAAAAACAAAATGCAGGCTTTTTCCCCCCTCGCGAGGGCCTCCGCAGCCACAATCCTGTGCGTGCGTGCATTCTCAGCGTTTTAAACACGGCATGTGTGTGTGCATGTGCTTGTGTGTCTGGCAGCGCCTATACTTGCGGAGCAGCTGTGCGCCACAAGAGAGTCTGAAGAAAGCAACGGCAGAGAGAGGCAGATAGCACACAAGGAGATTACTCATATCATCACACACACACACACGCACGCAGCCGCGGAATGGGTGCACTCAACCACAAAATCAAAAAGAAAAACAAAACAAAAAGCCGCAGCGTGGGACGACCAGCGCACACACATTCTCATTGCTCCCGTAAAGCAAAACACACACACAGAGGGAGAGAGAGAGAGAGGTCGCCCACTCAATGCAATAGAAACAAAACAGAAACAGTTACGGTGCTCCGCCCATGCAGCCAGGCAGGACGGCAGCGGTGCGTGTCGTGCAAAAGAGAGCACCAACGGGCCTGCATGGGTGTGCATGCATACATACAATGGGCACATTATGTGTGTGCTTCGTGGGGTGAGGTGAGGGCGAGAGTCCATGCAAGGGGACACACACACAGAGAGAGAAAGACGAGTGTGTGTGCGGGCGGTGCACGGCTCTCTCACACTCACTCTCACGCGGCCACCACCGCAGCAGCCGCACACGCAACAAGAAGAAGAAGCAAAAGAGGGGAGGTGGTGTGGGAGGCCGCGGTGCTGCCGTCACTGTCGCCAGTCTTAGCCATTGTATTTTTCATGGCTGTGGTTTCGACTGTTGTTTCCTTCGGATGTTGAGCATTCTCAGTAATGTTAGTTCCAGTGGTCGTTTCCTCGTGAAGTGAAGAGATTCTATTTGAAGACGGCGTAGCTGCTGCTTCTTGGCTGCCAGTTGATGTACTCTGCATTGTATTGGCTGCGGATGCAGGATGTTCGTCACTGCTTTTGGGCGCATCAGCTAAATTCGCTGATGCATCCGTGCTCTTGCTCTTTGTCTCCTCTTTTACTGACGTCAATACTTCGTGCTGAGTTTTTGGTTCTGTCGCTGCTGCGTGTGATGGTTTGAGTGGAGTCTTTCCACTTTCTTGTAATTTTGTATTTGGATCAGCTGACGATTCGTCTGTTCGGGAAGCTTCTGAACCCCCTTTTACCGTTATTTGTTCTCCCGAAGAGCGTGAACCACCGGCACCCAACGTGGCGACCTCGTTTTCATTCTGACCCGTTGTTGGAGCAGAATCGTTTTGTTCCGGTCCGTTGTTGAGTGTATCTGCTGCCACTCCGTCGTGTGGCTGGGCGTGTTGACTCTCCTTTGCTTCTGGTACCTTATCTTGTCTTGTAGGCTTCCCAACCGCATTGGGTGAAATACCGACGGTGGACCCTTCGTCACCGATGCGGGATGAAGAATCAACACCAGAAGAGGACCGCGAAGTGAGAATGGCGCCAGGGGCAGCAGGACCAGAAGCACCAGATGGTGGTTTTATTCCTCCTCCTGCTGCTGCTGCTGGCGGTGGTACTACTACCGGTGGTGTTTCGCGTATCTTCGCTTCTTCCTCCGCTTCTTCATCTTCGTTGTCTCCATCTTCTTTCTCGGTCATTCTCTCGCCTTCTTTTTTTTTCAGAAATTAGTTTTTTACGCGACACAATAGCAGCTGAAGGATTCTGTATCGTCTGGTCCTTCCCTCTTGTTGCATCTGTTGATTCTTGTCCTGAAGCCACCGGCTTTTCATCTTTTATTTCGGGTGGTGAAACCTCTTTATTCCTTGCCTGGCCATCATTGTCCGTGATGACATCCCCGTTTCCAGCAGCAGCGGCAACGGCAGAGTGTTGACGTCTCCAACGACGACGGCCATCCACAACGGCACGCAAACCGTCCATCCCCTGACGCACGCATTCCTCCACGGCGGACGCATTCGCACCGCCTCCCGTCCTCCTGCTGACTTCCTCCACGCATTCCCTCCGCAGCCAAGCACGCCACTGCAACAGTAAGTCCTCATCCGCACTGCCATCGCCACCGCCAACACCGTTGGCCGCAACTCCAGATAAACCGCACCACAGCACGCAGAGGGCACACACCAGCAGCACACGGCCAGTCATCGTCATCGCCATCACTCCTGTCACTTGCGTGCAGCCTTCAGCACAAACTAACAACACGTCAGCGCAGAGTGAAAGCAAAGCAAAGAGAGACAAGTCACACACAGTAACACGCACCGTCCCATCCAGCAACGAGAGTCACGCACCACAAGAACAATTTGGTTGACGCGGTTCAAAAGCGAAAAACAAAAAAGAATTTATCCTCGCCCGTGCACCGTTCCTCACACCCACAATGTCACTATTGCTGTTATTCCCTCTCCTCAGGCCCTCACAGGCACGCCACGCTCACTTCAACACACGCCCCTCCAGCACAGGCCTCGGGATCGTCGGGCCCTCCCACCACACGCAGCCGTCATGCGCTACCACCGCGCCGCAACGTACGACACCTCCTTCCCCAGTCAAGCAGCTCCGTGTCCGCCACGTCCCTCACAATCGCCGCCATGCCACCGCCGCACAACACACACAGCGCCACAATGTCGTGCCGCCACTTCGCTCCAATCATGAGCACAGCACCCAACGCGTACTGGCGCACTTTTGCCATGCGCTGCAACAACCCGCAGGTCAGCCTCATCGTCACGCACTGCATCTCGTTGTCCTTGTGGTTGGAGCGGACCTCCCATCCTCTTAGTCCACGGCCTGGTGCTGCAAGAGGCTGACGAGAGGTTTCACCTTTGAGTGGAAGACCACATGTACGAAAACAACGGCCACCCTCACTCCCTCACACATCTCCACACCTTCCATTCACTCACCCACACACAAACGGCAGCAACAAGAGGGACAAGGCAAATAAAATTACATACCGCAGTCCTTCAGTTCTGTCTTCCACTTTGAAGCATTGTCCACGGCAACCGGTCCAACAGAAAACGTGCGGCTGCTGTCCGTCACCCAAAGGCAGAGCGCAGTGGCCCTTTTCTCCCCGAGGCATGCCCTCTCTGAGTGCACAGC